AATGTCCACAATAGGCAAATGAACAGAGAGAGAAAGTAGGTTAGTGGCTGTTGTGGATATGGGGGAAAACAGGTTAAAAAATTAAAAGATAATACGAATCTTTCCGTGAACTTTTTGAAGTACTCTCACAGAATGCCCACAAATAATGTATCTCCTCATAAGAAACTTTATTATCTTCAAAAAAAAAAAGTCACTTTCTGGTGGAGAAATCTGACAAACATCACTTTAGCCAACTGAACAAAGTTGAGATCACCAATAAAAGAACAAACCAACATGATTTGGCCCCTGATATGTTGGAATGAAAAGAGTACCTCGTCACTTCTATGGTATCCCTGCCAACAATAAATAATCTAAACCTAAATGTGAAATATATTGGACACATCCCAAATGAACATCTTTTTCTAAAATAACTTGCTTATACTCTTCAAAANGGATCTTAACCCTTGACTTGGTGTTGTCAGCACCACACTCTCCTAAGTGAGCTAACTGGCCCTCCCTATATAGGGATCCGAACCTTTGATCTTGGTGTTATCAGCACCACACTCTCTCAAGTGAGCCACGGGCCAGCCTTCCATGAACTTTCTAAAGAACCTTTGTTGTATACAAGGCATGGCAGGCATGGGGAAAACAGAATCTAGCTCTTCCTGTGTGAAAACCTGCAAAAAATACTACCTGTATTTGTGTAAAGCAATAGTTACAGCCTGTTGTACTGTGCTGTATTTGGATATTCTATTTACAAAACAGCCCATGCGGCACATGTCAAAACACTTTTTTACAATTGAGCTCCTAGTACACTGAAGACAAAAAATTGGCATATTGTTTTCAGTTAATTTGGGGGGAAAAGGTTATATGTAGGAAAGCTGTCACCACCGTGTTGCTTAAAACAGTAAAACTCTTCAACCACTTAAATGTCTATGAGTGTGAGAAAGTTAAAAATAAAAAGGTATATTAAATCAATGGGAATATGATGCAACCATAAAAAATGAACATTATATAATATTACATAGAAAGGGCACAATTTAAAATTAGATGTATATCCCCAGTACATATACAGTTATGAACATACATGAGAAAGAATCTGAGAAGATAAAAACAGCTAATTTATGAGAAGGAAGTAATAAAATGGGAGAATTATCCATTCCTATTATTTTTTCTACTCTATAAAATAAATAATGATATAAGAAAAGAACTAAATACAAATGCAAAGTCAACTCAAAAGGGACAAAGGAAGCCCCTGGCACACAAAACAAAATGCCAGTTGTTCTCCTTCAGTCTTCCCAAGAAAGAGAAAAACATGCCATTTGTAGTGAGATGGAATATTAACAGTGAGAAAGGCAAGCCCTACTCACCTTGAACGTGGTCATTTTTCTCCTATGCTGAGAATGTGCAGAGTCCTGATTTATGTAGATGCTGGGAAAGCAGAACCATACCTGGAAAGTGCCATGAAAGGTAGAAAAATATCCATGAAAGGGGGGCCAGGGATGTCACTCACCAACACAGTGAATTAGCACATGAATGTTCACAGCAGCATTATTGATAATAACCCCAAACTGGTAACAACTGAAATGCCCTCCTACAGGTAAACTAATAGACAATTCCATAGAATGGAATGTTACTTGAAAATTAAAAGGAATGAGATACTGACACATGGTACAGCATGGATGAACCTTGAAAACATTATGCTAAGTGAAAGAGGCCAGTCACAAAGGACAACACATTCAATAATTCCATTTCTATAAAATGTCCACAATAGGCAAATGAACAGAGAGAGAAAGTAGGTTAGTGGCTGTTGTGGATATG